GTGACGATTTTTTGAAAATCCTGTCTTCTCTCTATATGTCTTTGTGCCTTATAGTTATAATATCTTATAATATAAAAAACTGTTGCTAGCTCAAATGATTTTCGATGGTAATCTATATTTTTGTGCATTGAAGATTAGCACAATTTAATATCAAAAATGGTTGCAAATACATATATAAAAATTCACTCATTGCTGTGCTGCCACTGTATGTGATTTTTATTCATTGCGTGTCTTTTTCACATCCTCAAATAACATTGTACCGCCCTTGCAACAGATTTTATGTCGTCGTCATGTAGTTTTGCTAGGGGGATTCTGGGAAAGGGCTCGCCTGGAACAAGTCTAGAATCATGCTGAAGTTTTTAAAACTTCTGGAGATATTTCCGAAGGGAGCTCTCTCGCTGATTTGCGAACTCCGTTTCATGTTACTGTTCTTTGAATAATTTAGCTTGTCAAATAAATCGATGTCTGTAGATCACAATCTGCAGGATTACTATAGGGGATCTATCATTTTCTGATGAACGGAAGCTCAGCTCCCTGTTTTGAGTCTATAAAATGGAATATGGAATGAGTAAAATGTACTCATTTTGAAATAATAAGTTAGTGGACTTCTGTTGGAATTGAATTTCATAGATGTGAAGTTATAGTTATAGTGATAAAATAGTTTGACATAATAACAGCTGAAGTATCTCGTCGAGTTCGCCTATGAACTACTATCAGCCCCGGCAGTCAAAATCAACTACTTTCCTGTCTAGTGAAACAAATAACTATTTCTTCCTACGAACTCGTAGTTTTTTCGAATGCAATTATTTTCGTTAAATTTCTAGGAAACAAAATTCCCATCGAACTATCAAATATAGGTACTTCGACAAAAAAATCAATCTTGTGATACTGATAAAAAAAGAGATTTCTGAAGAATCTCATTAAAAACATTCACACGGTGTTACAGATATGTTAAAGGAATTATAGGTGTGGCATTTCAACCAGGCGAATAACTACCCAATTTTAGTTCAAAAAGCATCAAGTTAATTTCAAAAAGTATCAATTGTATTTCAAATTAGTCGTTTCAATCCCAGAAAGTGTCAGAAGTATTTCAAAATTATTATTTCAATTCCAAAATGCGTCATTCTTATTTCAAATTAGTCATTTTAATTTCGAAAAGTATCAAATGTATTTCAAAATTATCAATTCAATTTCAAAATGCATCAATTGTATCTCAAATCAGTCATATCATTTTCAAAAAATTCCATTTCAATTTCAAAAATCTTTCATTTTGAATTCAAAACAAAAAATGATTTCTATTGATGATGCCACAATGACATAAACCAGGAGCCAGAAGCGTTCCAATAACGTCTGCATTGTGAAATACATTTGATATTTTCAATAATACAAATGACCATTTTGGAATTTGAAGTGTGAGTTTTTGAAATAAATTTGAAACATTTGAAACACAATTGATGGTTTTGAAATTCAAATGACTGATTTGAAATATAATTGAAACATTTTGAAATTTAATTGATAATTTTGAAATATATTTGATACTTTTCGGAATTGAATTGACTAATTTGAAATTCGAATGATGTGCTTTTTAAATCCAGATGACAATTTTGAAATGGAATTGACCATTTTTGGACTAAAATTAAAAAATGTGTAGGGTCTTAGTGATCTATCAGCATCAGCATATTTTTTGAAGAAATGATATCAGTAGTGGAATTTGCGTATGACAAACGCGGTAAGGAGAAATGTTAATTATGCTATTCAACACTGATTGATGAATATTATTGAAAGAAATTATGGAATGTGTTTAAACTTTCCTAATCAGAAGTGTACCTAATTCTTGATGGAATGACATGAATGAGAATTTTTTTATGATCCAGGCAACCTCATATTCGAATATCATCAATGGGCCTGTACACCTTGGTAGAACTTTCAACTCAAACCATGTTTATAATGATCCTTTTATACATAAATAATGATTGACGACATAATTCGATCGAAAAATAAACTGAAATATTTTATTTCTGGGCATTTTTAATAGTACCTTCTGAAAACGGACCCTCTTATGACGGAGAAACCTCATTCGCCATAGTTAAAAAAAAATACCAAACGCCCGACCGAGATTGAGGCAACTGATATATTAATTCTTCCAACTGTGATCTCGCGCTAATTCACTCTGTCAGAAATCATTCATCTCTGTCTGGAATAGTCTTGTTTCAGTATTAGGGTTTTGACGTCACATCATCGCCTCGTTTTCAGAGGTCCAAAAAATCGAGGATTTCAATAATTTTTTATAAAACGTAGGGAGCCCACAGCAAGAAACGGTTTGCGGTAGTGAGCTATTTTGGGTGAGTTCTATCGAATCATGAACAATTTTTTTGTGATATAAGTCCATTCTACCAACCTTGACCATTCAACTGTTCAGCTCTAGAGATATTTCTAATAAAAATAACGAAACAATGATTTCACAATATACTCGCAAAACTTCACTTGTGGAAACTTCATTTCAATTCCTAACGCGCTTGAGATGATTTGTCTACAAACATAAAGTCTTGTTCTTGTAAGTTGGTAGTTAGGGAGTTGTTCAATCCGTATCCAATGTTGAAAGCGCGTCACAAACATAATATTCCTCAAATATATTGTTTTCACTGAGCTCAACACTATATTGAATTCGTTATCAAGAGGCGAAACTCCATAAAATTTTAGAGCATTACTCGTGCTGATGTGCAATTCCATCTTTAGTCGAGGAGTGCTCAGAATGCTGTAAACCGTACAGCAATACTGAAAAGAGACTTCACGATTCAGGAGGCTTTGTTTTATCGCAGACAAACATACACACTTCTGTTTATGTCCACTTCCAGATAAAACATGGATGGAATTTCCTTCTCTTTTTCAGCCGCATGAATATATCGCGACAGAACACGGAGGCTGATTTCACACGGGCGTGCTGGAAACATCTGAATTAAAAGGAAAATTGTCTTATCTATAACTTATTCCTACCTTTTGATCGATACATTCAATATATACTCGATTTCAAACAGTTTTCTTCCAACAATAATGTAACATATTTTCTTCCTAGAGAGTTTATACCAACTTTACATTTTCCGCATAGCTCTGCGCTTCCTTTGCGGAACACCCTTCTGTGAAGCGAGTATAAGCTGCATCATACATATTTCTAGATCTCACTGGTAGCAAGTTAAGATTCACTGCAGAAGCAGTATTAATAGTTTCTTGGGAATTTTCCTCGATTTCTTGTTCCATAACCATCAACTATTTTCAAAGATGTTTTCCTAAATTTCAGTTCGATATCTGCTGTCACCATGGGTTGTCAAAAAGATGCATGTTGTCAAGATACGAATTCCAAAATCTATACTACTACTAATTATGACAAAACACTTTGACCAAATTTTCATTCTTTCTCAATTTCTGAGTTTTCGCCAGCGTAAAAAATAGTGTATACACCTCACGACAAAATGCTATTTTTCCCTCGGTGCTTTGTATCTCTCGGGCTTCGCTCTCGAGTTACAAATCGCACCTTGGAAAAAACCTTGTATTTGTGTCCCTTGATGTATAATGTAGAGCAAGCGGTATATTTTATTATACAATTAGTACTCATCTCCAATTTTCACTCAGCTTTGTATATCATTATTATATTTATCCAAATAAGAATAGTTAGATGAGATTGAATCAGAATTTGGCCTTTCAAATCTGTCTGTTCTCAGAACAGTTTAGAGTTCTTTGGCTAGCCTCACGTTGACTACATAGGCTAGCTCGGTTTTTCCTTTACTAGCGTAAGAACCTTACCCCAGATTTATAGATTCAATACGGTAACGTAACGCGTGTAACTTCAAGGAGATTAAAGGGGAAATATATACGTTATTTTCACTCAGAATCTATCGAATAATGTTCCACAAAATAGGACACTCTATTGAACTTCATAGAATAGTCCTATATTTTCAATTTCGTCGTGTAATGTCTTTCAAAACCCTAAGTTGCGTTATTGAATCTATAAATCAGAGGGGTTAGTCTTGACTATATAGTCCAAACAGTTACGAAGTACATGTATGTACTGCTTACCTATCGTACGCATGTGTTAGTTGAGCCTATACAATGAGAACTCTCACCAGTATTCCCACTGAAGTTCGTCTCTGGCTCAGTAAGTAGATATTCTATGAATATTGGCGATGGCCTTTCGATAAATTCTTCTGTCCATCTCATTCCTGGCGAGTTGTTCTATACCATTCTTGAGATTTGGTTTGCATCCATGATTTGATGATTATTGTCTTTTATACAGGGTATGTCACGACGAGCTTACACTATCTCGATATCGAGAATCAGTCGGGAGAAATACATGGAAATGTGCATGCTTATATTTCACAATACGCTCTCTTCATTTAAAATAATTTCAGCAATGCAGTGTTGCCGCTTCTATCAAAAAGTAGCAACAACTTTGTTATTTCGAGTAGAATACCCTGTATTTTATTCCATTTTTGAATTCTCCCTGAAAAGCTGACTCCATCGATGTAGCACACTTAGGGTCTATCGGAAATGATTACAGAGATATAAGGTGTTCAAAATCGAGATTTTTCAACTTTGGGATTTGTTTGTGTCGAAACTATACATTATCGGCCAAAACGGTTCATATGTCCCTATATCAACTTTCGATCCACTATTCACTTATATGTAATCGGAACAGATACAGGGTGATCAGAATTCTGATTCTTGAACCACCCTGTATCTGTTCCGATTAAATATCAGTAAATAGTGAATTGAAAGTTGAGATAGGGACATCGAAGCCGTTTCGAGCTGTTTACTCATTTATATTTATATTATTCGCTTTGTATATTTTTGTAATTGAAGTTGTTATGGACACATATGATAATTAATTAAGACAAGAGATAATTCAATGTCTGAACAGTTAATTAAATAGATTATATATTGTGTAGTATTATAACTGCTACAATTGGTGACCCCGTATTGTGAACTGAAGAAAACTCCTTCGCAAAATGCACAATCCACCCGAAGAAAACATGCCTGTGCCTGAAAATCCAATTCAAGTGCAAAATGTCAATCATCATATTGAAGACGTCAAGCAAGTAAAACTGCCAAATTTTTGGAGATCGAATCCTGCGTTGTGGTTTACACAAGTTGACGCCCAATTTCACATATACAAGGTACGAAATGATGTTACCAAGTACTATACAGTGATATCTGCGCTCGATAGTTCAGTGCTGCAACAGATCTCTGACTATATCACATCTCCACCAGAGACAGGAAAATATGAGAGTTATAATACTACACAATTATATTGTGTAGTATTATAACTGCTACAACTGCATTGTCGAAAATATTTTATGAAGAGAGCGTATTCTGAATTATTAGCATATATATATTCATCGATTTCTCCCGACTGATTCTCTATATAAAGATAGTGTAAGCTCGTCGTGACATACCCTGTATAGCTTTGGCAACAGAACAGCAGTTGATCACGGCGATTAACGATTAAGATATTTCAACGTGCGGATAGCATATTATGTTGGTTGAGATTTATTAGCTTCATTGATGTAGCAGTACCCAACACAATAATCACGACATTGAAAAGCGGCACTCAACACTATATTTATCTGCAACTGGAATGTGAGATTTTCTACTTATTTTCAAAACTGTGAACTGACCCACTCAACTTGATAAACATGCACAACCCACATTTTTGTCAAGTCAAATTCAGATGCCAATGAACTAATTCAAAATTTCGTGCGAAAATGTAATACTCAGAATAAACTGATCAAACTTTCACCCAAACAACTGATTCACTCTCAGAGTCGATAATAGAATGCACCCCTAGTATCATATGAGGAGTTGATTGACGTTTCGAATGAGGTACCACTCGACACCCTATTCCAACCGACAAAAATCTCCCGGACTGGCACCCTGGCCAAATTTTGAGGAATTCATATTTTCATCTACTCACTGAAGCGAAAGTAGGCGTTTGCTCCCTCATTTGATGAAACAAAGTTGTCAATTTACTCCCCCGGAATGAAAAAAACATTTACTTCCGTGGGAGGTAAAATAAATTCGCTTCAGCATACATTCTTTGGGTCGATATATACCTATAAAATCTGTGCAATCTAAGTGATCAGTGTCTTTATCACTATTATGAACCAACTAACAATAATATCCTTTTTGAATCCCAATATCATAAGCTTCTTCAAATTCTGAACGTACTTCTAATCAAAACTTCCGAATGCAGTGATACAATACACGAATCGATTCATTCTTGATTATAGAAGTGTCAAATTGACTTTCGTTCAACATTATAATTCATTCTTGACCTTTTCGAGCAACCAGCATGGCCCAATATGTCTTCCACTTCATATAACAAAATATCATGTAAATGTTGGAGACTTGGCAACATTCTGCTGAATGCTGAGAAATGACAAGGTCACGCCCACAAGTCAATCGCGCCGTGTTGTCACGTTCATCGCTTCTAATATCCTCTAGTGTGAATTAATAAAATCACTATACAGTGTGTCCCACTTACCATGCTCACCATGGGTATCTTTTTAACGGTGAGAGATACGAGGTCGGTTGAATGACACCAAATGTGGAGTTTGTCAAGGCCAACTATAATGTGGAAGAAAAATTTGATAAATTCTATTCGTTTTTGTTTTATACGCAAAATACAGATTTTGATCATTTTCATGTCTCCTCCGTAACTTCTTTATTTATGAAAATATTCAAATAGGAATTTCACATTCTCATGGCAGTTTTTCAAAGTGATTCCGAAAAAAATATAGAATTTATACCAACTCTTCTGGAATTTGAGATATCAGCATCAACTTTAGTTTTTCAAATGTAGGTCATAGCTCGCTGTGACTTAGTTACAAATATTTTTTTCTTTCTCTCACAGATGATATGTCGCAGTAATAGTTTCGTGTTGATAACAACGGAGTTATCGTCATTTATACAAGAACAAAAAATTATTTGGAAGCCGCCATCTTGAATTTATAAATTTTAACAAAAAAAAAATCATGATCTCCGACCTCAAAAACCCCCACTCACCAATTTTGAATAGAATCGGACCAAATCTTGTTCGCCATCTTGGAGCAGCCATTTTTTTAAAAATTCCATAATGTTTTGTCACCGAAATTATGAACACCTGCCGAATTTCAAGGTAATCGGAGTTATGGAATTTTTGTTGAAATTGAAAAAAAAAGGCTGCTCCAAGATGGCGGACAAGATTTGGTCCGATTCGGTTCAAAATTGGTAAGTGGGGGTTTTTGAGGTCGGAGATCATGATTTTTCCGTTAAAATTCATAAATTCAAGAAGGCGGCTCCCAAATCGTTTTTTGTTTTTGTATAAATGACGATAACTCCGTTGTTATCAACACAAAACTATCACTGCGACATATCATCTGTGAGAGAAAAAAAAGTTATTTGTAACTAAGTCGTAGTGAGCTATGTCATACATTTGAAAAACTAAAAGTTGTTGCTGATATCTCAAATTCTAGAAGAGTTGGTATAAATTCCATATTTTTTTCGAAATCACTTTTAAAAACAGCCATGAGAATGTGGAATTCCTATTTGAATATTTTCATAAATAAAGAAGTTACGGAGGAGACATGAACATGATCAAAATATGTTTTTTGCGTATAAAACAAAAACGAATAGATTTTATCAAAATATTTTTTCACATTATAGTTAGCCTTGACAAACTCCACATTTGGTGTCATTTAACCGACCTCGTATCTCTCACCGTTAAAAAGATACCCATGGTGAGCATGGTAAGTGGGACACACTGTATACACAAATGTATTATGAGGAATAAGCCACAAATCATAAGGGAACATTTTGTGTCAATTGATTGCGTATTGCTAAATAGGAATATCACCAATACATAGTTGAGATTTTATGAATGTTTGAATTATTATTTTCGTACCCATTCGTATTTCAACATATGGCAACTGGGCTATATCTCCTGAATTCGGTATGTTTTTTCCGTGGTTTCGGTATCATAAAATTTGGTTTGCTGGCAACCCTGAATCAAGCTGGAATCCGAAATCTCACCCCTGCACCGCTCTCACCTCATCTTTAATCGGTCAGTATTTGAGTGACGCGAGGACCGGACGTTGTCATCCCCTCGCGACGAGGGTGGAAGGTCATTTGCAAGACGCGCATCATAAATAGTTTTCGAGAAGTTTAATGCCCGTAAGGGGGTGGCGTGCCATCAGAGTCAAGCGACGAGCTAATAAATCACGTCCGATTTCTGGCGGAGCACACAGCCACGCCACGGCAAAAAACTTGTCGGAGTAATCAATATTCCTTAATTTCTTCATGTCAAGCGGTGAACGCTTATGCTTACAGTCTGTATAATATTTCTTTGCATGTGACTGGAATTCGCATAGACCTACGCGCATCTTACTTTCCTCTTCAGACTTGCAATGGGCTTATATCACAAAAAAATTTTATTTCATAATTCGATAGAACTCACCCAAACTAGCTCACCACCGCAAACCGTTTCTTGCTGTGAGCTCCCTACGTTTTATAAAAAATTATTGAAATCCCCGATTTTTCGGACCTCTGAAAACGAGGCGATGATGTGACGTCAAAACCCTAATACTGAAACAAGACTATTCCAGACAGAGATGAATGATACATGATTTCTCACAAAGCACCAAGATAGGTGAATCGGCAAGTTGATTTTTGGGACATAGATGATAAGAACAAGAAGAAGATCAATTCTAACATATATTAAGTTTCTGCAACTTTTGAATATTAAATTGAAATATTTCGACAAAAGTATGATTAAGAAATGTTCTGTGCCCAATTGCAATTAAACAAACATCATTTAGCTGGGAATTTTGAGAACAAATCTCGCCCCTCACTGGGAAAACACAATATTATAGTAGTAGTTTTGCTTTGCAGAAATTCATAGGGAAATTGCTTGAAGAATGAATGATTCATCTCCTAGAAGAACATTCAGGGGGAGATGCAAGCAGTATCTAGTCTTGGGAATAACATTGTTCCATACCAATTGATCATATTGTTGCATAGGTAAACATATCGATCAGTGACTGATTTAATGAGGATTCTCCCTCGGAATCTCCATATGATGGCTATTCTGATGTTAAATATCCTTTCAGGTGAACAATTTTCCAATGCAACTATAATAGGTACAAGCAATGAAAATTGAATGAATATTGTGGAACTTACCTTTCAGATTTTCTATTCCTCATTTCAGCACTGAGGAACTGTGGAGATTTTCTAGTATGTTAGAGTCATAAAAATAAGTAACCATTTCCAAATCAATTTTCGGTAAATTATCTGATGAGCCTTTTACAAATCCTGATTCAACGTTCATGTTTATATTCAATATATCAATAATATTATTATGTATCAATATGATATAAAGCAAGATTTGGAGGTTAATTTCATGACGTGTCTTCTCTTCTCATTTTAGACGAGATAAATTACTTCGGAATCGGAATTCGAGACTCCATGCAAATGCAGCTCCATGTGAAACGGGTCAACAAAGCAATGTTGCTGCGTTCATGAAATATATTGGATTATTGTGAAATTGTCATGGTGCAGATGGTTTTGAGATTGAGACATTTCATTGTTTAGAGATTGTTTATATTCTAATGATTCAACCTACCATCGACAAGTTGAATATATTTTTCTGCAGTAGTGGTAGTTGATATCAAAAGATATTTAAATATCGATTTCGATCTCTCGGATATTTTGTTTAGATGATATGGCAACAGTGATAAGTGTCACACATGGGCCACTCTATGGGTCACGCTCATTGGTTCCAGGCGAGATGAGGTTTCTACGTCATAAAGAGGGTCCGTTTTCAGAAGGTACCTATACTATTATTTATGTCCAAAAATAAAACATTCCAGTTAATTTTTAGATGGAATTATGTCGCCAATCGTTATTTATGTATAAAAGGATCATTATAAACATGGTTTGAGTTGAAAGTTCTACTAAGGTGTACACGCCCATTGAGCAGCAATGTCTATCATGACATGACGACGTTTGTTGACATAAGTTACGAGTTTTGAGTGAAAACCTAGATGTGGGTATCTGAACTACTGTAGGTATACTCATGTCATGTGTGCTAAATATATTTTCGGAAATCCAACTCGGAGAAAAATTTATGGAGTGACTAATTCTAGGACGAGAAGTATATAGGCTTATAAAAAGTAATACGTGAAATTGCAGGAAAATGAAGAATAGAATATACTTTACCCCCATACATATGATTTTTCCGTCTCTCTTAAATAAAAAGTCATTTCCAAATAATTACCTAATTTATTGATGA